GTTAGTTTATTTTGAAGCTGCCTGACATGCTCTGCATAACCAAAGGCTTTCTGTAAAGTATGTCAGTAATGTCATCTATTCTTTTGTAGAAATAAAACTTATCATTTATCACTAGTTAAATTCCAGAAACTTTTATGTAAATACTTACATTGTTAATACCAGAGGGCTTTCATTAGCAACTAATTTTCATATTCCCATGTGTTATGCTGCCTTCCAGAAGTCTGAAGATGGTTCCACCGTGTCATCAAAATCATTCTACAAGGAGTTCCCCGCTGCCTAATAATGCCGACATTGACGCAGTCTCCACTGCACTCTCTAAGGACGGTGTCCTCACTGTCAAGGCTCCAAAGAGGGTATGTCTGACAGAGCAATAAATTTATTAAAACAATAAATGCTTTAGTTTTCTTCTTTTTTTATATTTAGTAAACTCCAGCCGTCTGGAACAAAGAAAGTTTGATATTTGAGGTTCCACTGTATACCTGTTATCTCGTATGTCTGAGACAGAAAAAAAGACACCATCACGTAAAACAAATACAGGTTTCTGTCTTACACTCATTCAAATTCAAATTCAAAGTTTATTCTCTATAAGGATTACAATGCTGAGTTTACAGAAATTTGGTTATTGTTTGGTTTACATGTAGTAAAATTGTGATTACAGAGTGTACCACTAGAACGCTTAGCATGGCTAGGCATTTCGGGCATACTTAGTTTTATTCTTAATTGTAAAATATTACAAATTATGAGGTAAGTTGGTCTTATGGCTAAGTGACTAAAAACTAGTTTATGAGTTTAGCAATGTGAAAAGCTTTTGTTTTGGCACAGTATATAGTTTCAGTATGGAGTACACAGGATTCATTATTTTAAGACTGAGATTAATATTTCTGTTTATGGTCAAATGAGTGAGCGAGTGTAAGTGTGAACCACCAGGTGGTATTCGTGTAGTTAGTTGACGGGGTGTATCAGGGAGATAAGATGTTTTCTAAGGGTTTAGTTTTGAAGGTGATTGAATTTTGTCTGCAGTTCTAGAGTTCTCAGTAGGGTATTCCAGATTTTAGGGCCTTTGAATACATTGAATTTTTGTAAAGGTTTAGTCGGGCACGGGAATGTCGTAGAGATGTTTGTGTCTGGTGTTATGCCTGTGGGTTCTGTCACAACTATCAAGAAAGCATTTTGGGTTTCAAGGTTGAAAATAGAGTTTAAGGCCCTGTAGATATAGATTGCACAGTAGTAAGTGTGGATGTACTGAACTGGGAGTAAGTTTAGATCTTTGAAGAGGGGGGGGGTGTGCTGCCGGGGATGGGATTTAGTGATTTTTCTTACTGCAGCTTTTTGTTGGGTTATTATTGGCTTTAGGTGTGTTGCTGCAGTTGATCCCAAGCACAAATAGCAAGGTGAGGTATGGATAAATAAGTGAGTGGTATAGTGTGAGAAGGGGGCATTTTGCGGCACGTAGTATCGTATTTGGAGAGGATCCCAACCATTTTGGATACTTTTTTGGCTATATGCTGGATAGGGGTGCTGAAATTCAGGTTGTTGTCAAGGTATAAGCCTAGGAATTTTCCCCATTATTTCTGGTAATTAGAGTGTTGTCAATCTTAATGTTAATTTGTGCATCTCCTGCTCTGCTACCAAACAAAATTTATAGTAAGTTTTGTCAGTGTTAAGCGTAAGTTTATTGGCTGTCATCCAAGTCGATATTTTAATCAGCTCCTCATTCACATGGTGTTGAGGGTGGCAAGATTAGGGTGAGAGATGACATAAGTCGTGTCATCAGCAAAGAGAATGGGTTTCAGGGTGTTGGGATACGTTTGGAAGGTCATTGATGTATATGAGGAAGAGCAGGGGCCCAAAGGGGAACACTTCCCTGCGGAACTCCAGTATCAAGGGGCCGGGGTTGCTGTGCTGTGTCTTTAATGGTGACGTACTGATACCTATTAGTAATGTAAGATTTGAAATAAGCAAGCGCATGGCCTCTTATCCCGGGTAGTGGTCAAGTTTGTGGAGTAGGATTTGGGTGGTTTTCTGTGTAAAAGCTTTCTTAGGTCAATAAAAATTCCTAGTGGATATTCCTTATTTTCCAATGCTGTGTAAAGCAGATCTAGCATTTTTATGATTGCATCATTAGTGCTTTTATTTTTCCTGAATCCAAACTGGCAGGGGTTGAGTATGTTTTGAGCCGTTTAAATGAATACAGTCTCTTGTACACAAGTTTCTCAAAGATTTTGGATAGCAATGGTAAGTTAGATATTGGCCTATAGTTGTTTAAGTCTGTAGGGTCACCACCTTTATGTATTGGTGTAACCCTTGCCATCTTGAGTAGTTTCGGGAAGGTGCTAGTCTCTATTGACTTGTTAAAAAGTAATGAAATAGCATGCGAAAGGGGCATGGGCCGCTCGCTTGTACAGTAATGGTGGGGCATGAGACAGATTCCCCGAGTTATTTTTAAGTGACTTTATGATCCCAATGACTTCCGTGGGCCAGTTGGTGCAAGATAGAAGGAATTAGGGGAAAATTTCGATCTAGGTAGTCCCCGGCATGGGCATTGGTATGTTGGGATTTTACTGGCGAGATTAGATCCTATGTTTGAGAAGAAGTCGTTTATCTTGTTAGCGGGGTCAGTGAGATTAGTGGTGTTTCATTTGGTTTAGTTAGGACAATATTCTTGGTTTTTCTCAGTTTGTGGGTTCCTAGAATCTGAGAGAGTGTTTTCCAGGTCTTTTTTATATCTCCTCTAGTGTCTGTGAATCTACTGGAGTAGTATAGTTGTTTGGCTTTTTTTATTACTTTGGTGAGAGCTGATGAATAGTGTTTTTAAAAGTATCTTTGTGTATTAAGCCCTGTCTATATTGCTTTTCATATTGGTGTTTCTTGTCTATGGATTTCAGAATGGTGCTGGTTAGCCATGGGCAACCAAGCCGTTTGTTTGTGATCTGTTTTGTTTTTAAGGGGCAATGTTTGTTGTATAGTCTAAGTAATTTGTTTAAAAAAAGATGTCTGCCAGTCATCAATACCATTGGCCTTGGAGAATTCTGTAGGCCAATCAAACAGTCTCTAGGTCAGCTGTGAACTTCCTTACTGAGGCCTCGTCATGGAGTCTAAATGAGACTTTGTTGTATTCAAGTGGTGGTTTACTAATGTTTGTCAGGAGGAAGGTAGGGTAGTGGTCTGTAGTGCTATCTGTGATTATCCCTGATTTTAAGGGGGGCTAGTATATTGGTCCATATGTGGTCTATTATGGTTGCACTTGTCTCAGTGAGCCTGGTTGGTTTAGTTATTGTTGGTATGAGAAGTGTGTTGTTCATATTGTTGATGAAATCAGTTACAGGCTGATCATCTAGTAAGCCAAGGTTGATGTTGAAGTCTCCAGCTAAGAGAAGGTGGTGCTTATTCATTTGTCTGTTTGTTATTAGTGACTTTAATTTCTCACTGAAATTTGGGATGTTTGTGTGAGGTATCCGGTAAATGGCACCGATTGTTATAGGCAGGACAGTAGTACCTTCCTGGGTGGTTGCTGTCTACCAGCCTACTACTTATATAAACATCAGCCGAATTACTGTGACAGCGTATGTGTGCCCGGCATAAGTAGATATGTAAGTTTATTCAGGTATACACAAATACAGTTACATAGATTATCATACATAGCAGCGTATGTGTAGAGAACCTGGGATAACCAATAAAGTCAGACAGTGACTTATTTCCATTGGAGTCCTTTAGTCGAGAACATTCTGATATCTCATCACAGGGTCTTTCACGAGTTAATTTAATATCTTAAGTTATCTGAGATCTACCATCAGAGACCTAATGCTCCACAGATCTATCTTTGATTGACTCTTGGGGTCCAGACGTTCTCCAGATTGAACTTTTTATTCTGGTTAGCCAGACTTGAGTCCTGGAGGTGGGAAGTACAATTCCTGCACTTTAAAGGAGGGGTTTGGGATACTGACTGTTTGGAGTGACATCTAAACTGGCATATCTGGGTGCCTCTGCAAAGACAGTGATTGTGTGAATGATGGTGTTGAATGATGGTGAGAGTGTTTCTTTCTTTTTTTTTGGGGTCACCCTGCCTTTGTGGGAGACAGGTGACATGTTGAAAAAAAAAAAAAAAGATAAATGCATTAGTTGAAATTACACATTACTTAAGCCGAATTAATATGCCTAGAGTTGATATATCTTAACTCTTTGATTGTCCGTCATGTAGAACTGTATCATTGAGGCAAGGACCCATCACATAGACCTGCCAGTGTTCATCACATTGAACTACGTCATTGAGGACGCATCATTGAATAGGACACACGTACAGAGAAAATGGTTTATTGTGACAATAATTATGTAGAATTGTACAGTCAGCTTGATGACGTTATACACTAACCTAAATATTATTACAAAAGCTTGTTCTATCCCTCTGTCTTTTCTTCATTACTGTCAGCAGTATACCTTGGCATCCAAAATATAACTGATATGGCATGTAGAGTGGATAGAATGAAATAGAATGACTTCGAGAGTTTACAAATCTGTAGTGGAGGGAAGGCGGGGGTATGGGTCGGCCTAGGAGAGGTTTGAGGGAGGGGATAAAGGAGGTTTTGTGTGCGAGGGGATTGGACTTCCAGCAAGCGTGCGTGAGCGTGTTAGACAGGAGCAAATGGAGACAAATGGTTTTTAGGACTTGACGTGCTGTTGGAGTGTAAGCAAGGTAACATTTATCAAGGGATTCAGGGAAACCAGCAGGCCGGACTTGAGTCCTGGAGATGAGAAGTACAGTGTCGGCACTCTGAAGGAGGGGTGTTAATGTTGCAGTTTTATAACTGTAGTGTAGGCATGCCTCTGGCAAGACAGTGATGGAGTAAATGATGTTGAAAGTTTTTCTTTTTCAGGCCACCCTGCCTTGGTGGGAGACGGCCAGTGTGATTATAAAATAAAATGACATTTAATACAATCTTGTAACAACTTTTTTTTTTAATTATTATTATTGCTACTGTTGTTATTGTTGTGTTGTTTTACAGGAAGGTGATGGTGCCAAGCCTGCTGGAGCTCTCACCACCTCCACCTCCACAGTACAACAATCATCATCTTCCGTCCAACAATCTTCTTCAGTTTCCTCAAGCTCAGTTAAGAAGGTGAAAATGTTGTAGATCTTTGTATTTCAAACATGTATAAATGTGTTATCTTTCCATTTTCTGTTAAACACTGATTATATAACCTGGAGGTTAGGTTACCTGGAGGTTATTCCGGGGATCAACGCCCCTGCGGCCCGGTCCATGACCAGGCCTTATTCTCTGCTGCTTCTATGCTTGGATGATCTTGCATATCTTTTAGTGCAGACAAAAGGAGGGGTGTTAATGTTGCAGTTTAAAAACTGTAGTGTAAAGCACCCTTCTGGCAAGACAGTGATGGAGTGAATGATGGTGAAAGTTTTTCTTTTTCGGGCCACCCTGCCTTGGTGGGAATCGGCCAGTGTGATAATAAAAATAAAATAAAAATTACAAGACTAGTTTACTGGGTGGCTAAAGATAGTGTTGTGTGTAGCACATGTTTACATGTATTGTTTGCACTGCAGTTGGTAGCAATTCCTTGTTTTTGTCTGATTCTTAGTGTAATTTGCTAACAATTAATTTGTCAACAGCCATAACTATTGATAAGTTAATAGAGGTGTCAGATGACTTAATCAGAGATACTAGAACAAAGTTCCTTTGTGGCAGAGCAAGAGCTAATGCATTTTTATTTGATTCTTGAAAAATTGCAAAGCACATGAAACAACTTTGCTTGCATGAAATGTTTAAAGAAGACAGCCAAGAAGAAGGCGTATCAGTAGTAGGCCTATATCTGAAAATCCTGTGGCTTCAAGTACCTCAGATGAACTCCATGAAACATCACAAATGCATGATGAAACAGTCAACTATAAAATGGACAGCAATCATGACAGCCCTCAACTTCTAGACCTTTGTAATTACTTATACATTTCCAATAAAACCGTAAAGTTTACCACTTTAGGAGTGTTAGTACAGTGGACCCTCTCCTAACGATGGCATTGCCTAACGTTAAATTCGGGTAACGATACATTTAACGCTAACATTTTGCCTCGGCTAATGCTAAAATACTCGCCTAACGTTATTCAGTCTCAGGTACCAATTAATATCGCTAGGCGAGGGTCCACTGTACCGCAGCATTCTTTGTAAGTATGGTAATTAATAAACCCGTTTTATTTATACTAACGTTGAATTAAAGTTTCTAGCAGTCTATGGTGAGTCAGAGGTGTAGTGTTGAATTATCATAGTGTGACCTCTGTTGATCTGGCAAAATTGACATTTTGGCAAGGCCTAGGAACCAAGGGAACAGAATTATTCCTCCGTAAGTCATGCGTGTTGTAAGAGGCGACTAACATGCCGGGAGCAAGGGGCTAGTAACCCCTTCTCCCGTATAAATTACTAAATTTAAAAAGAGAAACTTTTGTTTTTCTTTTTGGGCCACCCTGCCTCGGTGGGATGTGGCCGGTTTGTTGAAAGAAGAAGAAGAACTTTTGAAACTTGTTTTTCTTTTTGGGTCACCCTGCTTCGGTGGGAAACAGCCGATGTGTTAAAAAAATAGTATGTATATGGAGAGGGAGAGAGATGGAGAGAGAGAGAGAGAGAGACAGAGATGTTAACCAGAATTAGTAGATAGATTGGCAAATACAGTAGTATTTAAATAGATAATATATTTAGATACCTAGAAAAGTGTAAGTACATAAACTATATGGAACCAAGAGGAAACTTGGCATTTGTTGCATTGCTTGATGATGATAAAATGTGGTTACTATTAAGCCTTTCTTCCTGCCCACAGGTTTCCATGTCCTCATCGTCTACATTTTCGTCGTCTTCATCTTCCAGCTTCTCTAACAAGAGTTCCCTCGATGACATGGCCAAAGACATGCAAGACCGTCTTGTCTTTTCTCACGAGAATGTTAACCTGAAGCTCCCTGGAGGACAGTAAACTAGTTGATACCAGAGTAGAAGCAGAGCATAAGATTTCTTCAAACTGAAACAATGGTATACCTTAGAAGACATAAAAACATGAGCTTTCAGACATCGCATAAAATTTAACTAAATATATTGCAAACAATTAACCAAAAAACAGGAAGTAAAAAAAAAGACAACAGAACTAGAGGCGCAGAAAACAGTATTGCAAAGCTTCAGAACAGTAAACCCTGATCATTGTGAGTGGCTTGTAAATACTGATATACAGTTCAGTAAACATTTTTCATAATGTATGAGTAAAATAAACTTTGTGGAAATTATAAGAGAAAACAAATATTTTCTTACATCTTATAACATTTGAATGTCAAATACAGTGGAACCTCAAATATAGAACTTTCTTCGGTCCAGAAGGCTGTTCAAGTGTCACTACTGAACGAATTTATTCCCATCAGGAAAAATGTAAATTAGATTAGACCATTTCAGACCCTCAAAAATACACTTATAAAAGCACTTACAAAAATACACTTACATAATTGGTTGAGTTGGGAGCAGTCCGATTTTTGATGTTCCACTGTATACTTCTTACTATATTCCACCAAGTTAATGCAATCCTATTTGCCCAAGAGATATTTCCAGAGTATTTGGTATGATCATAAAGGATGGGTTTGGGATATTGGCAGTTTGGAGGGATATGTAGTGTATGTTTATACGTATATGCTTCTAAACTGTTGTATTCTGAGCACCTCTGCAAAAACAGTGATTATGTGTGAGTAAGGTGAAAGTGTTGAATAATGATGAATGTATTTTCTTTTTGGGGTTTTTCTTTCTTTTTGGGTCACTCTGCCTCGGTGAGAGATGGCCGACTTGTTAAAAAAAAAAATGCAGACAGATAAGATAAGATAAGATAAGATTTCGTTCGGATTTTTAACCCCGGAGGGTTAGCCACCCAGGATAACCCAAGAAAGTCAGTGCGTCATCGAGGACTGTCTAACTTATTTCCATTGGGGTCCTTAATCTTGTCCCCCAGGATGCGACCCACACCAGTCGACTAACACCCAGGTACCTATTTGCTGCTAGGTGAACAGGACAATAGGTGTAAGGAAACGTGTCGGAATTTCCACCCGCCGGGAATCGAACCCGGGCCCTCCGTGTGTGAAGCGGGAGCTTTAGCCACCAGACCACCGGGCCACACAATAACAATAACAGATGTTAGTGGAATGCTATAAGGCATTCCACTAACACAGAATGCTTTGATATGCTGTTGGAGTGTGAGCAAGGTAACATTTATGAAGAGATTCAGGGATACACTTGATACACTATTATACATGTAACTAAATACAGTGGACCCCCGCTTAACGATCACCTCCCAATGCGACCAATTATGTAAGTGTATTTATGTAAGTGCGTTTGTACGTGTATGTTTGGGGGTCTGAAATGGACTAATCTACTTCACAATATTCCTTATGGGAACAAATTCGGTCAGTACTGGCACCTGAACATACTTCTGGAATGAAAAAATATCGTTAACCGGGGGTCCACTGTACCTATAATCAACTATTATGTTGCTGCATAAGAGTAAACTAAATCATTACAATGTACAGTAGAACCCCGTATCCATGGATCTGGTATCCACAGTTTCAGTTATCCATGGTTTATTGTGGCCCAAAAATAACCCTTAATTTTGCTTAACCAAAGTGCAAAAGTAGTGATGGTGGCAGATCTTCAAAGCTTAAGCCGTGAAGTGCTTCCCATCAGTGGAAAAAGTGCTAATTCTAGACTTATTTTGGACAATTTATCAATTAAACTTATCATACGTGTACATTTTTCTTTTTTCAACAAACCAGCCGTATCCCACCGAGGCGGGGTGGCCCTAAAAGAAAAACAAAAGTTTCTCTTTTTAAATTTAGTAGTTTATACAGGAGAAGGGGTTACTAGCCCCTTGCTCCCAGCACTGGGCTAGTAACCCCTTCTCCTGTATAAATTACTAAATTTAAAAAGAGAAACTTTCGTTTTTCTTTTTGGGGCACCCTGCCTTGGTGGGATATAGCCAGTTTGTTAAAAGAAGCAGCAGCAGCTAAGAGTAAACTAAATCATTACAATATATCACTACGTATCAAATCCTCTATCAGTTTCATATAGAATAATTCAAGTAGGACAACAAGCTGACTTACTTAAATATGTAAGTTACAGATGCAGGTCCATACCAATCACCTGCTTTCCCAGCTTTTGTCCAGAATGAACCAAGTTATGTAGAGAGAGTGGACAGTGTGGGGAAGGAGAGTCACCCAGCCAGTGCACAATGCAACGGTGAATAAGATTATCTGCTCCCTGCGCTGAATTCTTGTTATATCTCCAGTCTGTAAAATAATATACAGATCACTTGTACATTTTTTAAATAATTTAACCTATTATGTGCTACAGTACATCATTTACCATCTTTGTAAAATGTACGTCATAAGAGTCAAGATTAATATTGTTAAGTAAATGGACACAGATGCAACTAATGTGACATTTTATTGTGGCAGTGTTTCGTTCTTCAGAAGCTTTGTCAAGCTGTGATGTTTGACAACAGCTTTGTCAAGCTGTGATGTTTGACAACAGCTTTGTCAAGCTGTTATGTTTGACAACAGCTTTGTCAAGCTGTGATGTTTGACAACAGCTTTGTCAAGCTGTTATGCTTGACAAAGTTCCTGAAGAGCGAAACATTACCACAGTAAAATGTCACATTAGTTGCATCTGTCCATTTACCTATTATTTTGTTGGTAATTCTACCATTATTAATATGATTAATATTATTAGATTCATGGCAGTGCTAAACCCACTCTGGACATACAATGACTACAAAAGACAAAGGCACAGTTCCATGACTGGAACAATACACAAATAACCCGCACATAGGAGAGGCTTATTGTGATGTTTTGATCCTACTTGGACCATTTACAAAGTCACTGTGTGACTCTGTAAATTGTCCAAGTGGGATCAAAACATCATAAGCTTCTCTCCAATGTGCAGGTCATTTGTGTAATGACTACAAAATGCACAACCCATGTGTGGCTTTGTCTAACAAAGGCCTGAAATGCACTGTATCCTGGTGGCTTTCTTTGTGGCTAACAATATTTTATTACATATAAACTACATTACCTGTACACTGCATAAAAGAAACAAAGTACAGGAGGGCCTCACATATACAGCACAAGAGGGCCCCACATATACAGCACAAGAGGGCCCCACATATACACCACAAGGGCCTCACATATACAGCACAAGAGGGCCCCACATATACAGCACAAGAGGGCCCCACATATACAGCACAAGAGGGCCCCACATATACAGCACAAGGGCCTCACATATACAGCACAAGGGCCTCACATATACAGCACAAGAGGACCCCACATATACAGCACAAGAGGGCCCCACATATACAGCACAAGAGGGCCCCACATATACAGCACAAGGGCCTCACATATACAGCACAAGAGGGCCCCACATATACAGCACAGGATGGCCGCACCTATATGTGGGGCACCTCTTCCGTGTTCTAAGTTCTCGCTGACTTTCAACCGAGTCGTCGTTCCACACGCTGGCAGGTAAAACACAATGAAAACTGCCTCAATTTGAGGTGCTGTATATGCACGGTCTTATTTGAATTTGAGTTTATATGTAACTACAATTGTTTTTGTGAGAGACCTTAAGTAACATCAAGAAATCTCCTTCAAGGAAATACATAATGTCAATGAAGATTTACTGCTCTGTTACTCTGAATGGAACATTAACACTGATTATATTGGTCAAATATTGTCACTGATCTAAATATGTATTTTTTTTTTTATTGCAACCAAAAATACAATAGACTGAGTGAGGCTACCCTCTGGATATACATTTACAGTTGACTTACACTTCCTACTGGATATAATTTACATCCAGCTGACTTACACTTCCAACTGGACACACATTTACACCCAGTTGATTTACACTTCCAACTGGACACATTTACAACAAGTTGGTTTACATCACCTACTGGACAAACATATCATGCTGATTTAGTTTAGGTTAGGTAAGGTTCGTCAGGATTCCTGTCAGATATACATACCATGGTACCTAAGAATTCCTACACAACGTATTTACACCTGTTCACTTAGGCTTCCTGCTACACTTACTTTTACATTATAGTGATTTATGCTACCTATCACAAACATTGATGCTACCTACCACACAAACACTGATACTACTACCACCATACAAACATTGATGTGGTGTTAAGTGTAAGGTTTTCATTTGAAAATATGTACGTACTTATAGAATAAAAGATATCCAAGACATTTTAACCCACCCTGGCTTTAATTTGTGTCTCTTATTACTTAATACAGATAAAATCAAACAATGTACAACACGGCAACAACTTACAAACACAACCATATACAGTGGACCCCTGGTTTACGATATTTCATTCCAGAAGTATGTTCAGGTGCCAGTACTGACCGAATTTGTTCCCATAAGGAATATTGTGAATTAGACTCAAGAAATCGTAATGACACGATTGCAAATAAACCATACCCCCGGCCGGGATTGAACCCGCGACGGGCTGGAGTTTTGAGACTCTATGACCGCGGGTTCAATCCCGGCCGGGGGTATGGTTTTTTTGTGAATTAGATTAGTCCATTTCAGACCCCCAAAGATACACGTACAAACGCACCTACATAAATACACTTACATAATTGGTCGCATTGGGAGGTGATCGTAAACCAGGGGTTCACTGTATTATAACAAACTTTCCAGACATTTACAGTAAAACCTCAGTATAATGGACTAAAAGGGGGTGTCTGTTATATCAGAATAATTAAAAAAAAAATTGCAATAAAATGCACTCTACTGTATCCCTAATATAGTACTACTTATTACACAATTTGGGTATATGTACTTGCATAAGCACTTAAAATAACTAAAAGTACAATTTACTCGGAATTTTGACCATGCATATTTTTAAAAGTCTGTTATAAAAAGTGTTTACTGTATAAAGTGGGCAAGGAAACTGGTCTATTATCACTTCTGTCAAACTATTTCATCAGTGATTAATCTCTCAATTAATTTCCGTGTCATATCCAGTAAAGAGCTTGAATAGTTTAGCTCTGGTAAGAAAGTGGGATGAGAGAATTAGCCAGCATCATCTGTCCTGTCCTTACAACCCCAGCCACAGTCAGTGGTCGGGGCAGAGTCTTGCAATGTTGCAAACTGTTGCTGTTATGTGCACCACACTAGACTGTGCAAGTGCTCCTTCAAGGCCTCCATACCATGCTTCTCAACCTCTAGAATCAAAATGTTAATAGGAAAAAATGGCCAATTCCAAACATTTAGCTATTTTGGAATCTCAGGGACAAGATAAGATAAGATAAGATTTCGTTCGGATTTTTAACCCCGGAGGGTTAGCCACCCAGGATAACCCAAGAAAGTCAGTGCGTCATCGAGGACTGTCTAACTTATTTCCATTGGGGTCCTTAATCTTGTCCCCCAGGATGCGACCCACACCAGTCGACTAACACCCAGGTACCTATTTGCTGCTAGGTGAACAGGACAATAGGTGTAAGGAAACGTGTCGGAATTTCCACCCGCCGGGAATCGAACCCGGGCCCTCCGTGTGTGAAGCGGGAGCTTTAGCCACCAGACCACCGGGCCACCTATATTATAATCCACTTACATTATAATCCACACAGCTATCAAAACCTAGGTATAAATAAATGAACATTTTTTAAATTAGACACGTGCCGCTATATATACAAAAATTATAGGGGGATAAGTCTGTTGAGTGTACCTGGTAAAGTGTATGGTAGAGTTATAATTGAAAGAATTAAGAGTAAGACGGAGAATAGGATAGCAGATGAACAAGGAGGCTTTAGGAAAGGTAGGGGGTGTGTGGACCAGGTGTTTACAGTGAAACATATAAGTGAACAGTATTTAGATAAGGCTAAAGAGGTCTTTGTGGCATTTATGGATTTGGAAAAGGCGTATGACAGGGTGGATAGGGGGGCAATGTGGCAGATGTTGCAAGTGTATGGTGTAGGAGGTAGGTTACTGAAAGCAGTGAAGAGTTTTTACGAGGATAGTGAGGCCCAAGTTAGAGTATGTAGGAAAGAGGGAAATTTTTTCCCAGTAAAAGTAGGCCTTAGACAAGGATGTGTGATGTCACCGTGGTTGTTTAATATATTTATAGATGGGGTTGTAAGAGAAGTAAATGCGAGGGTCTTGGCAAGAGGCGTGGAGTTAAAAGATAAAGAATCACACACAAAGTGGGAGTTGTCACAGCTGCTCTTTGCTGATGACACGGTGCTCTTGGGAGATTCTGAAGAGAAGTTGCAGAGATTGGTGGATGAATTTGGTAGGGTGTGCAAAAGAAGAAAATTAAAGGTGAATACAGGAAAGAGTAAGGTTATGAGGATAACAAAAAGATTAGGTGATGAAAGATTGAATATCAGATTGGAGGGAGAGAGTATGGAGGAGGTGAACGTATTCAGATATTTGGGAGTGGACGTGTCAGCGGATGGGTCTATGAAAGATGAGGTGAATCATAGAATTGATGAGGGAAAAAGAGTGAGTGGTGCACTTAGGAGTCTGTGGAGACAAAGAACTTTGTCCTTGGAGGCAAAGAGGGGAATGTATGAGAGTATAGTTTTACCAACGCTCTTATATGGGTGTGAAGCGTGGGTGATGAATGTTGCAGCGAGGAGAAGGCTGGAGGCAGTGGAGATGTCATGTCTGAGGGCAATGTGTGGTGTGAATATAATGCAGAGAATTCGTAGTTTGGAAGTTAGGAGGAGGTGCGGGATTACCAAAACTGTTGTCCAGAGGGCTGAGGAAGGGTTGTTGAGGTGGTTCGGACATGTAGAGAGAATGGAGCGAAACAGAATGACTTCAAGAGTGTATCAGTCTGTAGTGGAAGGAAGGCGGGGTAGGGGTCGGCCTAGGAAGGGTTGGAGGGAGGGGGTAAAGGAGGTTTTGTGTGCGAGGGGCTTGGACTTCCAGCAGGCATGCGTGAGCGTGTTTGATAGGAGTGAATGGAGACAAATGGTTTTTAATACTTGACGTGCTGTTGGAGTGTGAGCAAAGTAACATTTATGAAGGGATTCAGGGAAACCGGCAGGCCGGACTTGAGTCCTGGAGATGGGAAGTACAGTGCCTGCACTCTGAAGGAGGGGTGTTAATGTTGCAGTTTAAAAACTGTAGTGTAAAGCACCCTTCTGGCAAGACAGTGATGGAGTGAATGATGGTGAAAGTTTTTCTTTTTCGGGCCACCCTGCCTTGGTGGGAATCGGCCGGTGTGATAATATAATAAAATAATTCTTAGTTATTGCTGTACTGGACTGAAGACACTCGTAGCTAAACATTTCCTCTAATAAATGTCTTCAACTGTACATTTTTAACATTATAAACCACACAACTATCATAACCTACTTATAAATGAGCATTTTTTAAATTACTCTGCTATTTTGAATTTTCATAGACATTATAATCCACACAGCTATCACAACCTACTTATACATAAATGAACATCTTTTAAACTGCTCTATCTCACAATTCATATTTTTTTCAACTACACAAATGTTACATTACCTTCCTGTGAATTATCTTCATCTTGACCTAAACATTTATGATAGACAACATCCCAGCAGGTACACGGGGGAATCCTGGCAGAAATTTTTCAGATTAACCGCCCAACCTGAAAAAAATCCAGACTGTAATCTCCTACTTATCATTGGTAACCACAGTAATCCTACAGATTTAAGCCTACAAAGCAAGACAGTCAGTCATTTTGCCAATTAAGCACAGTGAATTTTTTTAAATAATAGATGGACAAAAATCTATCAACATAAAATTGTAATTGATACAGGATCTGAGGCACCACAAATAAACATAAATAATAATTTTAAACTGACAAAAATGTATTATTATTATTATTATTATTATTATAATCAAGGGGGAGCGCTAAACCCATAGGATTATGCAGCACCTGTGGGGGAGACGTGGAAAGTATTCAGGCTTAATTCAGGGAACTGTAGCACAGATCCAGTTCCCAAGATCAAGAGCCCCTCACCAACATCAAGGAACCTTCCTTGAGGGGAAACATATTAATTTGCAAATCAATACTAATAAACTAATGAAGATATTTGTATCATTCAAATAATCTTTCATAATCCGTTTCAATATGTAATGTGTATAACTTTGACAAATGTATACCTAAGATACAGATATGTATAACTTTGACAAATGTATACCTAGTTATTATTATTATTATAATCAAGGGGGAAGCGCTAAACCCGGAGGATTATACAGCGCCTGGGGGGGGGGATGTGGAAGGCATTCAGGCTTAATTCGGGGAACTGGAGCACAGATCCAATTCCCTAAATCAAGAGCCCCTCACCAACATCAAGGAACCTTCCTTGAGGGGAATGTATACCTAAGATATACATGAAACCAGACCAGTAGTAGCAAGTCTTGTGTCATGGACGCTCCCGCTTAATTAGTATTTCAAATTAACTTTGTATATGAGACACTTCTGCAACATATGTGGAGACGTTCTGCCAGCGGCTTCATCAGTCCGATACTGATAATGGTGGAAGAGGTCAGGGACTGACTACCTTAATAGACGTATTGATGACTGTTAGTAAGGTAGGATTTGAAATATGTAAGTGTGTGGCCTCTTATGCCATAATGATCAAGTTTGTGGAGAACGATGCTCTGGTCTACTGTATCAAAAGCTTTCCTTAGGTCAATAAAAGAATCCTAATGAATATTCATTTTTTTTTTCAAGTGCTGTGGTTTTGTTTTTCCTAAAGCCAAATTGTCAGGGGTTGAGGATGCTTTATTCTGTTATAAAGGAACATAATCTCTTATGCACGAGTTTCTCAAAGATATTGGATAGTAACAACAAGTTTGATATTGGCCTGTAGTTGTTTAAATCAATGGGGTCACCATTGTGTATTGGTGTAACCCTTGCTAGTCAAACTCTTGAAGCTCTTCAAAGGTATATCAAAGGTAAGGTATCTTGTAGTGTCAGGAAGGTGCTGATTTCTAGTGATTTGTTAAACTCCTCATCTTCCAATTTCTTCCACCGTTCCTCTCCGTACTGGACTGAAGAAGCCGCTGGCGAGCGAAACGTTTCTTCAATAGAGATTTCCAAATGTCTTATTCATAATATAATAATATAATGTGTGTAAAGGTAGAAAGTTGAAAGTGACCATAGAAAAGAGTAAGGTGATGACTGTATCAAATGGTTTAGATAAAGAAAAATTGGATATCAAATTGGGGAGGAGGAGTATGGAAGAAGTGAATGTTTTCAG